GCATTAAACCAAACCCAGGGAGCTTCTGGGTACTGGGGGCGAGACAACCACGCAGGTCACTTCCCTTTCACGAAGCTGCCTCAGGGGAGAAGAATTATTTGTCACTCATTTGTTGTATATCTTTTTGGTCTTCTACCTCTTTAAAAAATGTAAACATAGGCCATCTTGGTAAGTGTTCTAGGTCTTAGGTTCCAACTGCAAAATGGTTTTTATTCTTCCAGGAACATACCTTGCAGCATTGCATCTTAAGAATTTCTAGGGGCTTGATGTGTGGTGCATTGGATTAAGCTGTTGTCAGCAACCCACAGAAGCACCGATTCCAGCCCAGGTTATTCTACTTCTCATTCAGTTATTTGCTAATCCACCTGAAAAAGCAGCAAAGTTGGTCCAAGCCCTTGTGACCTACATGGAGTTCTTGGCTCCTGGCTTCACCATGGCCCAGCCCTAGCCCACTGTAGCCATTTGGAGAGTGAATCAGCAGATAGCTAATCTTTCTCTAACACCTTCTCCCCACCCTGCCTCTGTAACTCTGATGAATAAATAAATAAATAAATCTTTTTTGAAAAAATTCTCGGCAAGAATCATGAGGGATTTGGCCAATGTCCTTTTTCCTGTGTAGAGCATACTGCTAGAAAGTTTAAGCGGGGTGGCTTGGGTTTTGCAAAGCAGCAAAGCAGATGTCTTTTGTCTCTCTGAGCTGCCGCAGCCTTGATGTTTTGATCTTAGCGAAGCAATGTAAAGCATTAGGACCCTGAGGAAACAGGACTCAAAGTGTGTGCCTCAACTTCCTCTGAAAAGCTGAGGATTCCAGGAAATGATCTCACTGACCCACCTGTTTATCACAGTCCCTGCAGTGTGGTTGCAGCAGCAAAAGGCCGGACACAGTCTCAGCGTCCAGCCAAAGGAGGCCTACATACGCCCTGATGGATGCGCACTATGGGACTGTGGGAGACCTTCTGGGGTGCACTGTCAGGAAACAGCAGACTGGACAAAGGAAGGTGCAGAAGGAGGTGTACAGTGTGCTGTGGTCATGTGAAAGGGCAAAAAGGCACGCACGCACCTGGGAAGGCAGCAGATGACAGATCAAGCAGCAGGGCCCCTTCCACCCTCGGAGGTGGGGGTTCAGATGGAGCTCCTGGCTCCCTGGTTGGCCTGGCCCAACCCCGGCTGTGTGGCTATTTTAGGGAGTGAGCCAGAGAAGGGAAAGTCTTTACCTCTGCTTACCTTCTCTTGCTCTGCCGTTCAAAATGTTTCTTCTTCTTCTTTTTTTTTTAAAGAAACATATTGTGGTTTCCCAACTATTTTTTCTCAGACCACGACCTTTCCCACACTTCAAACCTTGCCTTTTATTTATATTTTAAAATTAGGTTATGTATCTGAAAGGCAGAAGAATGAAGCGAGGGGGAGAGACAGAGACCTCACCATTCAGTGACTCAGTCTTGAAATAGCTGCAGCAGTGGGCTTTGCCCAGGCTCAGTCTGTAAGCTAGGAACGCAACCTGGGTCTCCAGTGGGGAGGCAGGGACTCAATTACTTGAGCTATCACCACTGCCTCCCAGGGTGGACATTAGCTGCATTCTGGAGCAGAGCTGGCACCAGGGCCACACAGGGATGACAACTGACTTGTAACAAGCACCTAATAAAAGTGTAGTTTCTGGCTTGGCTGATGGGGCGACTGGGGGAAGGAAGCAGGATTGCTTTGCCCCCCTGCTGTCCAGCACTGGAAGCGAAGGGCACCTGTGGTGGTGACTCAACACTCAAACCATCCGTTTATTGGGGCACTGCATTGTTAGCCTTGTGCGGAGACGCTGGAAAAATGAGGGACTCCTGAGAATGGTACACAAAGGAAAATGGAGTGTGTTTAGAATCCTCTTAGCACAGTCCCCAGAGAAAAAAACCTCAGGTCCCTGCATCCCAGGCTGTTATCAGAACACCTGATAAGTGCTAACTCCTGATAACTGAAATGCAGGGGAAAGAGTCTGTCCACAAACCAGAGACTAACAAAGGTCTTTATCCAGAGCACCAAACACAGAAAAGACTGCCGCGAAAAAGAAAGTAAAACCAGCCAAGGGCAGTACAGGCTGCCTGTTCAAGGGCTGGCCCTTCCAGTAAAATGCTTATTTTAAAAAAAAAAAAAAATAAAGCATGCTCTTTTTTTTTTCTAGTTACGAAGCTGATCCAGGGTGCTTGTGCAAAATTTACACAATATGCCAGTTTAAAAAAAGTTGCCCTTACACTTTCATTACAGTGGTTTTTGTACAAGTTCTCCTTTACCTGTGTGGAAGCCCATATGTATGCGTAGGAATGTGGTGTGATTGGGATCACAGGCTGCCCCTTTTCTTTTTTGAAGACTTATTTATTTTACTGGAAAGTCAGATATACAGAAAGAAGAGACTGAGGCAAAGATCTTCCGCCTGCGTAGTCTAATCTTTTATTTCTAATTTTTATTTAGTTGAAAGACAGTTACAGAGAAAAGGAGAGGCAGGAGAGAGATGTTCTAGTTGGAGCCAGGAGTTTCTTCCAGGTCTCCCATGTTGGTGACAGGGCCCACACCCCCGGGCCATCCTCCACCGCTTTCGCAAGCACATGTGCAGGGGGCTGTATGAGAAGTGGAGCAGCTGGGACTTGAACCTGTGTTCCTAGGATGTTACTCACTATACTGTAACACAAGTCCCTCTAACCTTCTTTTACTATACCGTGAACACATTCCCAATTCAGAAGCTATTCTTTAAAAAAATGTTTTTAAGTGACACATCATTATTTGACAGTCCCCTGATGTCATATTTTAGCACACAGAGAAAAGTTGATGGAACCCCTTGCAAATTAGTGTCTATGCTCATCAGCTTACAGTTTGCAGAATAAATTCCCAGAGGTAGAATATGGATCAAATTATCCACTTTCCAGCTTTTTTACTTACGTTGCCTTTCACAAACATGAAACTATATTCCCAACAACACTATATTTGACAATATGCATATTGTGTTTTAAAATATCATTGGCAAAGATGCACCCTTCTATTATTAAAAAAAAAGTTAATGCGTTTGTTAGTGAATATGAGGATTTAAAAAATTACATTTATCCATACGCACTTCTTCTTTGGCAGCATGTCTGTTCTTGCCCTTTTTTCATTCCTACACATAGGGTACTAGTGTTTGACATAGGAACTTACAAGTAGTCCACGTCATGTTTATTAAAGTCACCTTACCTCATCGTCTGTCATTTGACTTTCTGATACAACTTTTGATAAATGTTAAGTTTTACACATTTATTTAGTTACCCACTCATGCTGGCTTACAGTATCTCCCTGTGCCAGGTCTTCCTCTCGTGGTAATTCACCTGTGTTTTTTCCTACTTGTTTCATGTTTATTCTGATGATGGCTTAAGTAGCTCTATGTATTCCCCCAAGTTAATTTCAACTTTAGTAAAGAGTTTATCTTTTTCTCCAGAAAGGTGAACTGTTCCATTTACCTTACTGTGAATTAATTCTGTCAAGTGTTTCTGGGCTTTCAATTATTCCGCTGACTGTTCATTCTTGTGTGAATAGCAGTTTGGGTTATAGCTTTGTAGTATACTTTTAAATTAATAATGAAGTCTATCCAATTTTTAAAACAGAAATTCCTTAGCTTTTTTTCATAGGCATTGTGCCCGTTACACACACACACACACACACAACGCGTACACACACAACGCGTACACACAACTTTGGGAATTAGAAACATTTAGTAAAGCCATTTTTACTTTCATGTATTTCTTCGAGCCTTGCTTATTATGGTTCAACCTAATACCTTCATTAAGATACTTGCACATTTATTTTTAAATTTTAGGTATGTTAACATGCTTTCATGTAATTTACTTTCCACATTTAAAGTGCGCTTCGAGGCTCAGTTGAGAGCTTATCAAAGCTAACTTTGTTTTCACGGGTTCTTTACTTGCAGGAAATCAGTTACAAAAGAGAGGCTGTCTGGCAGGAGTTATTTATTGTGTTTACCTTAAACCCTGCATGCTGATTGTCCCTTTACACGCATTAACTCATTTAAAAATGAACTGTCTCCAGCAGGTGGGTGCAACTTTTATGCCCGTTTTATACCCAGGAATCCCAAGCTCTGAGAACTTGTGGAGCTGGGCAGTAATCAGCCAGGTAGCAGGGGTGTCAGCTCCCATGTTTGTGAAGTTCCAAAAACAACCCGAAAATCAGGACAGCCCCATGCTGTGCCAGGAGACCGGCCGATTCCTGCGAGTGCCTTTCCGAAAACAGCCACATTAAAAAGACAATGCCTCTCAACCTGGGGTCCCCCCAAAGGACTGATTTTCCTTCACCGGGAGGCGTGGACCGACCCCGGCTGGAGCATAAACACCATCCGTGACTTAGCAAGTGCCTGGAAAATCAGGGACTCCGGTTTAAAAAAAAAAAAAGAGTGGCTTTTCTAGAGCGTTCGTGGGAAAACTACCTCCCAAGGCAGAACAGAGAAAGGAAGAAAAGCAGGTGGAAACGGAGGGTTGGCTAGACCAGTGCGCGCCACAGGTAAAACTTTCTGGGACATTCTGCGCGCGCGGTTCACGCGTGGTGCGCGCAGGTGGAGCCGCGGTCCAGGCGCGGCCGTCGTATATACACCGGCCAGGTAACCAGCGAGGAGGCCCACGCGCGTCTCGGCGAAGGTGAGAGAAAGCGCGGAGGCGAAACAGGAGGGCGGACAGGAAGCTCGGCCAACGCCGCTGCAGCCCAAAGAAAAGACTCGGTTTCCCAGCCCCCCGCCCTGTGGGGCGCGGGGCGCCGCTGGCGCATGCGCGAGGCCCGGCCCCCAATTCCCCCAGCGAGGGAGGGAGGCCCCCGGCGGCCGGGAGCCTGTGAGGCGCGGAGGGACCCGGGCGCTCGCGCACACGCAGGGTCGCGGCGGCGGCCGGGGCGAGCCCGGCTGAGGAGGCGGCCGGCAAGAGGCGCTCCGAGCGTCCTGGGTCTGGGTGCGGCCGCGTGCGGGCACCCGAGGGCAGAGCCCGGGAGGGGCTTGGCGCCTGGCGCCCCCCCACCCCCCAACGCCTGAGGAGGGATGCGTGAGTCTCGCCCCCCGGCTCGGGGGGCAGGATGTGGGAGCAGGACAAAGGCTGGGCGGCGGGGGAGGAGTTGGGGACGCCGAGCCGGTGGCCGTGGCCGCCGCCGCCGCCGCCGGAGCCCCAGCCTCGGGGGAGCTAGCGGAGTAGGCAAGTTTCTGGGCAACTTTTACGAAGGGAAGATAGAAATTCTGCAAGTGCTTGCGCGGCTCCCAATCTCACGGGGAGCAGCGAGCTGAGGGGAAGAGGAGCCCCTCAAGCTTTCCGGGGGCGCCAGCTCTGCCGAGCGGGGCAAGAGGGGGCGCGTGTCCTGGCCTCGCCGGGGAAGTGGGGGGCGGCGAGGATAAGGGGCTGTGGGGGGTCGGGGCGCGCCCCCCGACCGGCCGCTGAAGTTGCCCGTGTCCACGCAGGGAGCGCTCCGAGTGCCCGGTAGCCGCGGCTCGCGGCGGTGCTCGGCGTGATGGATGAACCGTGGTGGGAAGGGCACGTCGCCGCCGACGTCCACCGCAGCCTGCGCGAGAAGGTCAGTTCCTCGCCCGTGGCGTTCGCACAACCGGGTGTTTTTCAAAGTCGCTTTCGCTGTGCGTTTGGTATTTTTCTCAGGTCGCCTCGCTGGCGAACTCGAAACCTTGAGTACCTTTCTCCTCCTCCCGCCCTTGTCGTTCCCCAGGGGATGGGAGACGTAGGGGGGCGAAATGAAGGCTTGGGGAACTTGGCTGGTGTTTCCGAATGGGAACCCCACAGCTCACGGTGCCTCGAAGGCGGTATTTCCCATAGTGTTGCCAGCCAAGGTTATTTTAAATGGTTTCTTAGAAAAATCTTGCGTGTTCATTTTAATGAGAAAGTTAGAGATTTGTACGGCAAGTTCTGCATGCAATAATGATGATGATTTTCCAGTTATTGGAACAGTGAGGGAACAGTCCGTTTAAAAATAAACCAAAAGCAGTGAAGATAGAAATAGTGGGGAAGTGGTGCTATAAAGCATACAGTTAGGACCCAGTGGGATGGATCTGAATGCCTGAAGTTTAAGAAGCGCCCGTGTCATTTGCAGCAGCCACGGAAGTGGAAGGCTGTGGGGAGAAGACAAAGTATTGTGCCCTTTGATTCCTGAGGCAGAAGAAGGTGGGGTTCACGGGCTGACCTGGGCTTCCTGCCGGGCTGACAGTCTGGTTGATCAGCTGGGAAAGTACAGGTGGGCTGGAGCCAGCCGGCTGCGGGTCTGCCCTCCTGCCCCTGAGCTGTGTCTGGGAAGGGCGTTTGGGAGAACAGGTGTGGAGTGGGGCAGTGGGTTGGTTTCCTAGGCTACAGTAACACAGCGCCAGGAGCCGGCTGGCGGCAGGGACAGCAGTTAGTCCCTTGCCCTCTGGCAGCCCGGAGGCCAAGATCCAAGTGCTGGCAGTGCTAGGCTGAAGGCCCACGTGGAAGGATGGCCCCCGGCTGTGTGGCTCCCTGGGGTGGTGACTGTCCAGGCTGGGCCACCTGTGCCAGCTTCTGCAGTGCCACGTGGTTCTACCTATGTTTGCCTGCCCTCTAGTAAAGGGGCCACCCTAATCCAGGGTAGCCCTATTGTAATTTAACTCAGTGCATCTGTAAAGACCCTGTTTGCAAGTAAAGTCTCAGAGATCCAGGTGGACCCGAGTTTGAAGGCACACAGTATTCAGAGTTGGTCTGGATAGATCCCAGTGGGCACATGTGAACCTGGTCTGTAGGGTCTCTGCTTAGGCACCTGCTCCTTGGGGGTTTCCACATTAGGGAATGGCTGCCTTCTGGTTGACGAAGGGCTTTTCCTCCTGTCCTGTGCCTGCATTCCTCCTGTTCACTACCTGCATGGCTTGGCTGCGCTGGAATTGTCTTCTGCTCTCGGATCTTTTCCTGAAGCCAAATGGCCAGGGTGCAGCACATTCTGGATGCCTGGCAGTGGTTCAGTTGAAGCTTGCTGAGGCTCCTGTTTCCAGCTGCAGTGCCACCCCAGCCATTGCCTGCGTTTGGGGAGCAAGTCAGTGAAGGGAATTCTCATCTCTCTGTTTTTCTCTTTTCCTCCATATTCCACTACATTTCACTTTTTCAAGTCAAGGGGCCCCCATTGTGGCATATTGGGTAAAGCTGTCTGTGCTGCTGGCATCCCTTACAGGTGCTGGTTCAAATCTCAGCTCCACTTCCCATCCAGCTCCCTGTTAGTATGCCTGGGAAAACAGCAGAAGATGGTGCAAGTCCTTGGGCTCCTGCACCCACATGGACATCCAGAAGAAGCTCTAGACTCCTAGCTTTGGCTTAATCCAGGCCTGGCCATTGCAGCTGTTTGGGAGTGAACCAGGAGATGGAAGATCTCTCTCTCTCTCTCTGCCTCTCTCTTTCTCTCTCTGTAACTTTGACTTTAAATAAATAAATCTTGGAGAAAAAAAATCCAAGACCTGTGGCCTTTGCGGTGGGCATAGAATATTAGGCTGTGTGGTGGTAGTCTGTGTCTGGACATGGTAGCTGAACGGGGTCATTGGAAACTGGGCTGCTGTGTATCACGGGTCAGTGTGGTGATTGTTTCTGCTCATAGCTTAGGAGAAATGGCTTTGACCTCATTTGGCGTTAATCTAGAAGGAAGGATTTTTCCCCTATTTCATTTTATTTGAAAGGCAGACAGAAGCACACAGAAGTCGATCTTTCAGCCACTGGTTCACTTCCCAGTGTGCACCACAGTTGGAGTTGGACCAGGCCAAGGCAGGAGCTGGGAACAGGGGCCTCGTTCGGGGTCAACTCAGAGCCGACACTCTGATTTGTGGTGCCAGCCAGGAAGCGGCATCCTGGCCACCACCCCAGATGCTCACACCTAGCAGGGAGGGCCTTGGACTAGGTGGGTGAACTGAGAATCCCAGCCTTTCATGTTCTCAGCCCTCCTTGCACTGCCCAGCAGCAGGGAAAGCAGGTCCCCATCAATCAGGCTGCATCTTTGAAGAACAGTTTGTTTTGATTTATGTGCATATTATTTGGAAGTTGTATATACAGAGAAAAAGCTAGAGAAACTTTCTACTGTCCACTGCCTGAATCCCAGATGGCTGCAACTACCACGCTGGGCTGGTACTATGACCGAGAACTCAGAGACCTATCGGGGGGGGTTGCGTGTTGCCAGCCTAGGTGTGCAATAGCAGGAAGCTGAATTGGCGGTGCAGTAGCTAGGACTTGGATCAGCCCCTGGTGTGGGATGCAGGCATCCCAAGCAGCTACATAACTATGGGATCAAGCACCCATCCTCGTTTGTGCTTTGTGCCTTGGAACCATCCCTGCTGGTCCTGTTAGGCTGCCCACTCTGAGGAGGCACGGTTAGAAATGGAAATCTCACTCGAGTTGTTTGTCAGGGTAACTCAACAATCCCAGGTTCCGCTGGTTATAGTGTTCCGCCTCCCCCAAACCTGCAAATCGTCTTCCCCCGTCTGTTCTTTGTTCCCTTCTACGAAGAAGATGTTTCTTGAGGCTAAGGCATCACAGAGGAGGACCCAGTGTCATGCCAGCCTTTCCCCGCTCAAGAAGTGAGGACCAACCTGTGATTCTGCCAGACAGCATAACTTGGATGAAATGTGTCCTCTGCCGGTGCGCGCAGCAGTACAGAATGCCATCCGAAGTGCCCGGCTTCCAGCAGACACTTGTCATTGGGGGTTGTCCAACAGCCTGGAAACATGTTTGCATATATGCCGTGCAGTGGTTGTATAACCCACTAGGAGTTACCCAGACAGGGACGTGGCTGCAGTGAGAACCCCATGTGGTCAGATGTGGCATCACGTTGTGGTTGTAAAGTGGGACACTGTGGAAATGAGTCTGGTGTTGGATGCAAAGTGGCTCCAAGGCACGGACAAAGCACCCTGAATGCCTTAGTTAGCCTGTCTGCTCCTGGCCTCTGCCCACCTTTCCTCCCACCAGAGCCAGAGTGGAGAGTGTGTCACTTAAGCAAATCATCTTTTTTTTTTAAGATTTATTTTTATTATTTTTTATTGGAAAGGCGGATATACAGAGAAGAGGAGAGACAGAGACGAAGATCTTACGTCTGTTGATTCACTCCCCAAGTGGCTGCAATGACCAGAGCTGAGCCAATCCAGAGCCGAAGCCAGGAGCCTCTCTGGGTCTCCCACGCGGGTGCAGAGTCCAAAGCTTTGGGCCTCCTTGACTGCTTTCCCAGGCCAAAGGCAGGGAGCTGGATGGGAAGTGGGCTGTCAAGATTAGAACCAGCGCCCATATGGGATCCTGGCTTATTCAAGGCAAGGACTTTTAGCTGCTAGGCTACCGCGCTGGGCCCCGTAAATCTTTATTTATTTATTTATTTTAACTTATTTTAAAATTATTTAAAAATTATTATCATTCTGCGATATAGTTCCATAGTCCTTGGGATTTCCCCTGCCCCCTTCCCTAACCTCCTGCCCCCCACCGAATTCCGCTATATTATTGCTATATATAGCTCTTCATAACAGTCATATGTTTATCATTGCGGGCATGGACAATGGCAGAGAGTCCAGCACCCTATTGTCAAGATACAGCTAGTAGTTTGATTAGTAGTCCATCTTTGATCTGGAAGTAGAGCTGCACACTGCACTGCATCCTCACATCCGGACATGATAGTCTCCATTACACAGTCACTACACATCCCTCTTAAATGAAAAGCCACAATACAAAATCAACAGCAGGAAGAGAAATAGAAATTTACAATGCCATGAATTTCTCAAGAGGTTTTGATAGTTCAACAGTCCTGAATTGCTGCCTATCCCACCACTCCAATTACAATGAAATCTCTTCGAATCCACTGGCCGCCGTAGCCCACCTTATTGTCTCCATCTGCCCAGACCTTCACTGCCAAGGGTTGGCTGAGGTAGTTGATCAATTTGTTCCTCCATCCTGTGCCATGGTACCAGGTGTCCTCTGAGGCTCCAATGTACTGCCATATCCTCCATGTACATTTGGATGTGCTGTCCACTGCTCCGTCTGAGCCACTGAGGAGGCCCAGCTCTGACATGTGCACTCCATGGTCTGACCATGAAACCTGCACTTCTCTCTGTGGTTAGAGTTTTGAGACCAGCAGGTCAGTTGGAAGGGAATTGCCAAAGAAGCTTCGTCTGAGGCCAATCCCAGACCTGATTCTTGTGTGTGTTTGCCAATACAGGGTACAGCACAGACTGTCACCCAAATCGGCTTGTGCACACACTGGTAGTTGGATTTGCTGGGTCAGTTCTGTCCCCAGCCCCCGTGTTTTATGCAACCCAGTGAGTGTTGGAGCGCAGCCTGATCCTGCCCACAGACTAAATCATGTGTGTCTCCCACACCATGAGTGCAGGGTCCCAAAGCTTTGGGCCATCCTCCACTGCTTTCTCAGGTCACAAGCAGGGAGCTGGATGGGAAGCGAGGTTGCCAGGATATGTACCGGCGCCCATATGGGATCCCAGCTTGTTCAAAGCAAGGACTTTCAGCTGCTAGGCTGCCGCACTGGGCCCAGTAAATCTTAAAAAGCAAACAACAATAAACTAAACCATCCTATTGCACTTAATACTA